GCCCAATGGGGATGTTTGGTTAATTTGATCAACCACTCACTAATGTCTCCAACAATCTGGGTCCTCATTTTACCCCCCGCGCAAGGATGGACCTCAGTCAACCCTGAGCCGGTGAGATTTGAACAGCCGAACTGCAGAACTGCAGTCAGCTGAAGTAGCCTGCAGTGCTGCATTTAACCACTGCGCCACCTCGGCTATAATTACCAGTTCCAGAGAAAAGAGAAATGCAGAGATTTAAAGTAGTATATTTTATACAGGATACAATCTGTTTTTAGATACAAATTTAAATTAAATAAAAGTACCTCAGGTATTTCTTTAACAAGCAGTGATAACTATCATAGGGAAACTGATCAGAAGCTTAATATGTATTAGGTGGGGTGGATAAAACTACTATATATGGGCATTGTAGTAATAATAGTTTCCTAGAAAATTTTCTACGTTGCTTGACTCTAGTTCCCACAGTGGGAAATACAGAGGACATAGTTCACATCTATCTTCAGGACCAGTAATAAGGAAACTAGCTGTAAAAACTACATCAGATATAGAACAAAATTTTAAACTGGTTTAAAGTCCGGTTTTGATGCAGCAAATAGGTCTTTCTAGGTAAATGAAGCAGGAAGATGACTCAAGTAAAGATTCTAGTTCTGCCAACTTGTGGAGATAGGTATTACAGCAGAAAGGAGTCAGGGTTAGACAAATATCATAAGCATGGTTCTGGGAATTACTCTTGTAGCAATCCTGGTGAAGAACAACTAGGTCTTGGAGTAAGAAAGCTAGCAAGCCTAGAAGACAAAGGATGTCTGCTTCAAGAGCAATCATAGCGGTGGGACAAAAGATTACAAAGAATTAAATAGATCTGAGCTGTACACAGAATGATTAAGAACAACAAAACAGCAAATTCACCAAAAACAGTAAAAAAAAAAAAGCTTCAGAGATGTTCTTATTTACTGATCTCTCTTTAAATCTAACAATAGAAAAATTATTGTGAACAATAGTGATACTTAACAGGCCAAACTCCCTGGCCCCTCTGAGGTCAGCCTTTGAGCAGTCTCCTCAAATGCCTTCCATTTCTGATGTATTAAAGTTGAGTTAATCACTTCTGAGTTAAATATTTGTAATTGAACATTTAATTGTTTTAACGGGCCAGAAAGAACAAAGCATAAAGGTTTGAGGTGTTACCTGAGGTGTGATAAACTTATTATTTGAAAACTGTAAAAGTAATTTGGCACCTACTAACTAGGCCATACATTTCTGTGTTTTCCCCAATGCAATACCCATGGAATTAGAATGTACTACTTAAAATTAGGTTCTTACATTCCTTACATTTCCCCCCCCCCAGGGATTTGAAGACTGTCTAGTCTTTGATGAGCTGATGGACCAATTTCAGAATGACCTCTGTAAGTAGCTATGAGACAGAAAAAACAATATTCTAGCAAATGCAAATTAAAATGGCTTTATGTGAAATGACTTCAGTATCTCTATCATCTATTCCCTCATCCATTTAGGGTGTGTCTTCTCCTTCTGCAAAAAATAAACCAAACAACTCTCCCAACCTCCCTGTGCTAGGCAGATTGTAAAGTCAGATAGGTGCTCCATGTATGTGTGAAGGAGATAAGGACTGTGATTGCTCCTGAAATGGAAAACATCTTTCTGAGATAACTGATATTAAGTTACCAGTATTACAATTTACAGGTTTGAAGGATTATTCTGTGGGGAAAACAATTGTTTCCCCCATCAGCAGTGATAAGAAGGAATTGTAACATGAAGCACACCATAAATTGGCTACTTACCATGATAATTTTTATAAGTCATCCAGGGTCTCCTCTTTATTATGTGTACTGTGAGTAACATTGTGAATTACTCTGTAATATATGCATTAAATAATCTAAAGTCAAACTCACTTTGTCACGTCATCATATCAGGACTTTTTTCCCATTCGCTAAACCAGGGGTGGGTGTGGCCAGCACGTGATGCATCCAGCCCAGGATGCCGGGAGTTTAACACCCCTGATCTAAAGCAAATAACATGTATAAATTGACTCCATGTTTTTATGCTAACCCCATGATATCTCAGTTTTGGGCCTCAAAGTCCTCCCTGCTCCCCCCTGTTATATACTGTACTTTTTAAAGACAATGACAAATATGATCTCTCTGCCAGCAGAAATTCCTCTTTTAGCAAACTATTTTTAAACTAGACCAAACTGTTTTTCATTAATCATGTGAGCGTGTTCTGATAATTTAACATATTGTATTTCATTTTATCTCATTTTTGTTTGTATTAATAATCTGGAACTGCCTTAAGACTGTTCTACAGACAAACATTAGATATTTGCCCTTTGGTTTGGTTTGTAGTTAGTTCAATGTAATTAATAATCCTATCCTACCCTAATGTTACTGTTTTCTATGAACGGAGGTGTTGAATAAAGGTCATGAGTTCTTCCCCAAGCTGCATTAACATATTATCCTCTAGTTTTTCAGTCATCAGAAATGGAGGCCGGCATCAATTGCACTGCTCTAGTAGCTGAAGCTTAGAACATATGACATAGAATAATAAGAGTTGGAAGGGACCTTGGAGGTCTTCTAGTCCAATCCCCTGCTTCTTCTTAGTTCAGCCCCTTCTTCTGCTTCAGTACAATAACAGAGATGAGCCAGTGTGAGTGAGTGAGTGTAGTGGAGTCAATTTAAGAAAGTCTTTGGTGGATTTCCCTGCCTTTACTTCCCTTTCACTGAGTGATATCTGTTGGTGGGATACATAATAGCACTGCTTAGTGGGCTTTGAAAGAGTGGGAAGCTCTTATCCAAAAATTATCTGTCGGGCAAATTACAGGCATAGAGGAAAAATGAAGAGGAGCAATTCTGGCCAACTCTTGTTTCAGCCTATGCCCTTCTTCCATGCCTGGAATATGTGACAGTTGAGAAAGCTGTAAAAACCTGGGTAAAAGTATAGGGTGAATGGAGAGGAAGCTGCAGCTGATAAACACTGCAAAGGAATGGCAGTGCTGTGATGAGTGGCTTCAGCTGGCAGAAATTGGAATAGCCATGGGACATTCAGTAGGGTAAGAATAGGCAGAATGGCATTGAATCCCCAGAATAACAGAAACAGAGAAAGTATGGTCAGGCAAGAAGCAGTAGTAATTTGGAATTTAGCAATCCAATCTGGCAGCTCTTGTCTTATTTAAGTCAACATTGTGTTCAGCAAAATATAAGGACACAACTAGTTTAGTTGTCTAAGCCCTAGTTTTTAGAAAGTGGCCTTGTATTTAACAACCCTGAGAAATCTATTTATTTGCTCGAATTATCTATTGCCTTTATTTTGTACAAGTATGCATGATGCTCCTGCCTCCAATTTTTTCCACAATAACAATCTTGTGAGGGGGGTGGAGCTGAAAGAAAGTGACTGAGGCCATTCTCAATCTTGTTTTAAAAAAATTGTCAGGTCTTAGGGAACCCCTGCATAAAAATATTTTTCTACAGCTCATGGTACATTAGTGTGGTCAGTAAGTTGTAGGTATAATAGTCTAATACAGTAATAATTGTTGGTGGTCTTTGGAATGGAGGGTTTTTTTTGTAGCTCTGGTTTTTTGTTTGATTTCTCCTCTGCCAGAAAGGATGTGAAGCCTAATGTAAGTCAGTAATATAAGTAGATGAAACTTCATTTTTTTCCTTTCTTTAAAAAAAATCCTGCTTGATTTTTTAAAACACATACAAGTAAACCTAAGTCTTATCACAAATTTCTTCTGAATAAGATGCTAATGATTTATGTAAAAAGTTTAGCCCTTTCATGAAAAAAACCACTTTTGCAAGGTTATCTATCATTCTTAAAATCTTTCCTTTCATACATTTTAAAAACTTACAAGGCACATATACTAAACTTTTGAAATTAAAATACTAAACTTTTTAAGCTAATTAAATTTAATTTGTGTAAAGGTAATCTCATTCCATTTTTTAAAATAAAAGGCTGACTATGAAAAAATATGGACAATATTGAATAGTGAAGCTATTAAAAGTCTTGTATAAAATATAGACAACTATACAAAACTTTGAAAAAATGTTTCTTAGTGAGTGACATGAGGCTCAAATATAAACTAACAGTTACAAAATTATACAGTAGACATTATTAATCAGCAACAGCAAAGTGGCAGGCCAGCAGTTAAGTCATGGTCTATAAAAATTTCCAACACTGCAAGCACAGGTATTATGTGACCTGCAAAGTTTTTTTAATATGATAATTTTTTTATTGCAATCTCTTGCAGAATCTGAATTGACAAGGATTGCAGTAGAATATTACTATAAACACTTCACAGATTGTATCTTTAGACACTGTATGCTCATAAAGCTATAAATAAAACATGAAAAAGCACGTAACCACTGCTTATCGGGGAATGGCAACTAGCTGCAGCTTCTATTTGCATCTTCTATGGCATATCAAAGTTTCTCTCTGAAGAAGGCCTGTGTTGTCCCTGCTTTTTCCTTAGGCATTTGCCTTCCAATGTTCTCGAAGCTGAGGGTACCTGACGACCATGCAATTTCAGATTTAGCCATGTATAATTATATAGAGGTAAGTTAAAGAATATTTGATTGGCCATTGAATTATAGGCAATGCCACCAAATGCAAATCTATCGCTTTCTGATTTCAGATGCGGGAACGTGTGAATTCAAGGTGGTTCATTTTCCGAAAGCATATAGACAATTGGCTTCATGCCTTCCTGCCCTCTATCATCATTCCTCTGTATACTATGGTGAGACTCTAACACTTAATACTGCAGGATTTTTCATGTATTTTTTTCTCCTAATTATCCACTTTTTTCTTCTGGGATACCCCCAGGGTCGGGTATTGATTTTGTAATCTCCTTCAGGTAACATTCTCCAGAATCCGATACCATGAAGCTGTGCAAAGATGGAAATGGCAGAATAAGGTAAATTAAATTCAGATGCATTTTCCTGAGCTACATCAAACATTTATTGTTGTAGCAAATGCATAGAAAAAAGTTGAGAAGTATATCTATCTTCACTTTAGATTGGATAAAAATGAAAATTTGGAATATCTAGTACCATCAAATTATATATACTGTAAAGATGCAAATAGTTTCCCAGTAGACCTATAGGTCGTACCCGACTCATCCCCTCTTTGTTCACCAGGATGGAGAGCATGACCAGACACACATCCAGGACAACCACTATATATAATCCCCTAGCTAGAATTTGTGAGTCCTGAGGCTGTTCAGGATAAGCAGGGTATCTAAGGTTGCCCTGAAATCTCTTCCTTCCAGGACTCCCTTCCTTTCTGGAATGTAAGCCCAACTCAGGGGTGGGTTTCTTGCCCCGTTCCAACCGGTTCGGTTGGAACGGGGCCGGCGGCGTCCTCGTGCACGCGTATGGCGTGCGCGTGCATGCGCGTTGCGCACGCATGCGTACTAGCGTCTGTGCGATGCTCCAGCTGCTCCTGGAGGATCGCGCAGGCGCTGT